CTCCAGTGCAGCCTGGATCAGTCCATGGCAAATGGTTGAGCTGTGTTTCCACCCCTGGGGCAGTCGATTCCAGGTGTACTGGACTCCCCTCCAGGTGAAAGCAAACTGTGGCCTGCACTCTGGTGCTATAGGAATAGAGAAGAAGGCATGAGCAATGTCCATAGTGGCAACACCACCTGGCTGCTTTCGACTCCAGCTCATACTGAAGTTCTAGCATGTCCGGCACAGCAGCACTGGGCGGTGGTGTCACCTCATTCAGGCCACGATAGTCCACTGTCAGCCTCCACTCGCCATCAGGCTTTCACACTGGCCATATGGGATTGTTGAAGGGTGAGTGAGTCCTGCTGATCACTCTTCCAGAGTCTCTGTTGGTGCTATATTGTTGTCTATGCACCCTTGAAGTGGCAATTGGCACCTGCTGGTCTTCGAACTTCAGCAACCCCACTACAGAAGGGTCATCTGAAAGGCCAGACAAAGTACGCAGCTGTTCAGTGTCCTCAGTCTTTACAGCTGCTATACCAAAGGCCCACCGGTACCCTTTCAGGTACTGGAATTATCCTCTCTTGATGCAGTCTATGCCAAAGATGCATGGAGCATCTGGGCCAGTCACAGTAGGGCGCATTTGCCACTTTTTACCAGTGAGGACAGATTCTGTCCCTTGATGATTTGATGGCATTAGGGTGCACTGTTGTCCTGGTTTAAATATTAAAGGTGAATCCCAAAAAAAATAGAGAGAATTGCTCTCTATTACCTCCCTCCCCTTCCACCCTCCCAAGGGAAGATAGAAGGGGAATAAGGAAGAGAGACTTAAACTTTGGAAATTGAAACTAGAAACAAATTTACTACAACACAAGGGAAAAGGGTAAAACGTGGAGGAAGAACAGATAAGTATCTTATATAACTGATCTCAATGATCGCAGGGATATGGGAAAGGCAGGGCAGCTCCAGGGGAGAGGTCCACAGCTCCTCAGAGCAACTGATGCAGTTGGATTCTGGAGCAAGCACGTGGGAAGCCAAAGGAACCAGCAGCAGCCCCAGCAGGGAGAAAGGAGAAGGAAGGGAGAAGGGACTGGCTTGCAGCTCTTCTGGCTTTTATAGATTGTGACAGGAAATGGACAGGAATACTGACCCCTTCCAGTCTTTCATGGTCCTAAGGACCCTCCCTATAGGTATCCAACACCGTGCTGGGGTCTCCTAAACCATAACAACTGTGCACCAGTGTCCACCAAGGTTTTATACTTTTGTGATTCTAATGTGCCAATCCACACAGTCCAATAAACTCGGTTGTCCCTCTCCTCCACCTGGCTGGAGGCAGAGCACCTCTCATTTTGGGCATTTGAGGTCGATGCACCGAGATCTAGTCCATCCATTCTGGTTGGAGAACCGGTCGCTGGAGATTGGAGCAGCCTTCTTCCTGGAAGGTCTGTCTCCTGCATTTTTTCTACCTAGCAGCTCACGTATGCAAATCTGGAGAATAGCAGTGGGTTTATTGTCCCAGATTCTCATGTCCTCTTTATAATGATCATGCAAGAGACCCCACAGGTGGTGTCAAAGTGGGTCCCATCTCTCTCACTGCTGTCTCGTAGCAGGGCGTCTCCTCTTAATGGCTGCAACATGTGACCAATTGTCTCTAGGGGGATACTAGGTTTTACCTTCCCCTCTGTTTGGCATCTTATTCCTTCTGTCAGTCATTTTTTTGAATGGCTGAGGTGTGGAACTGATGGGGATCAGAGATCATGTCTCCGTGCTGTCGTGCTTTCAAAGCCAGTTCTCACACAGTTGGTCTTTTGTAGTCATCAATGCATCCCATGAAGGAGAATATATGGGCACATGCTGCTGGTACAGCCTGTGCAAACCTCCGGAACATGGGTGTGTTGTACAGGACGTCTTCAGGATTTGTAATCCCATGGTTATCATAGATCACCTCTTGCACAGCTCATTCTCTCAAATACGTGATGGCTTTCTCAAGAGTGGGTGTTCTGCTTTGGCGCCAGTCGATGTCACCCTTATGGGGGTATCTCTCCCTCACAGCTGAAAGAAGTCGGTCCCATAGGGAGGTAGTTCCTGGACTTCTTCAATCAATACCAGCATCTCTGGCCAGGGATCCCAACTGCCTGGGTTCACTTTCATCTACATCATAGGTATCAGGTCCACCATCAAAGCATTGGAGCAACCAACAAAGAAGTGGCTCACCTTCATTGCAGGTAAAGTCCTTTCTCAGGAGATGCAAGATCCTCATCCTCATCTGCTTGAGGGGGGCCTGCTCCTCCATCTGCTTGAGAAGGGCCTGGTCTTCTGATTAAGTCTCTTAACATTGCTTTTATGAGAGGGTCCTCTGCTGCTAAATGCAGATCTAGAAGAGGTCTTGCTCTTCTGGTTTTTGGTGGCTGTTTCTTTACTTTCCCCCTAGCCACAAGATTAACTTTTGTCCATTTGGATTAAGTGGGAGTGGCTGTAGTCTTTGCAGCAGCAGCATTGGTGGCAGCAACCTTGCCTGTGGGGCAGCAGATTATGATCACTCTATGCATCCACAGTACATGATAAACATTCAGCAGAAGCATCCCTACTGAAACAATACTATTTAGATCAAAAGCTGGGAGATTCAGCCTGAGAGAAAATGGAGAGGTAAGTGACCCTGCCATTACCTACATAAACGTTTGTATTCACATAAAAATCCTTACTATACAGTGCCACCCTATAGATCAGTATCAACCCCCCTGTGATCACTAAACAGCTTATCACATCACAGAATATGGCTTTGGCTATAGTCTTGTTGATAAACCACAAAACAGTAACAAGAGCAGCTCCACAGAGCAGTATTATCCCAGCTGCATATCACATGTACAATTACTTGTTGGGAAAAAGGTCCCCCAGAAACATTGCGGAAAGTGTCTGTTCAGTTTTCAACCCGTCAAAGTGTTGCCCATAGCTATCTGAGGGATTCCTCCCATCAGAGGTGGAATTCTGAACATTCAGCGAATTAGTCAGAATTTATAACCTGGGCTTTAAGATATTGCCTCACATTTGGGTGTTTGACTCAGGATCAGCAATTAAATGAATGACAATAATGCTCTTGATCCCCTCCCACTACTACCCAGGTGGGGAAAGAGAGAACGAGGAGAGAGACTTTCCAGATCGAAAACTAAACTACACAGCTTTAATTAAATACTAATGATAAAAGAAAATATGTACAAATATATTCAAGTATGTACAGGAATGTGCAAATCCCTCCCCCCACCCCCAGCAGTTGCCAATATACTCCCCTTAGCCAGGGAAATCCCGAGAAGGTCCCAGAGTGCTGCTGGAGAGAGTGGCAGAGCAGACAGGAGCTGAGGGGAGAGTTATGAGGGTCAGGAATGCACAGGCCTAGGGATCAAAGGAGATGGATAAATGGAGTTCCAGCCTTGGACAGAAGAGAGAGAAGAGAAGGAGGGCTTGACTTATGTGATCCCTGAATTTATTCTGAGAGTTACATATATATGGATGGAATAATTTGTTTGGCCAATTTTGCCATCTGTCTAGTCCACTCCTCCCTATAGGAGGCATCAGATTCAACAGGCAGAGCAAAGTGTCCGTGGTCTCTCAGCAGTTACTATAAACATCCAGGCTTTATCAGTCCACTAGCTGGAAAACTTGCTGCTACTTTCAAGCAAGTGTGCTGCTTAAGAGTGTTCACTGAAGAAAAAAAAAATCAATAAAAATAATATTGGCTTAATCCTGGCTTAAACCAGGACAGACTCAAAGGCACAGATCCTTTTGCTGTCAGCAGTGCTACTTTGTGGTTTGGCTCCTGTGTATTGAGCAGTATTGGAGGGTCTTCAGGACATAGCTGAGGTGTGTGGGGAATTAGCAGCTTGCAATCTGGAACAGAACTCATCTGCAGCTTCTCTCTGGTTCTTATAATCAACCTGTATCTTGTGTCAGTGTGACAAGTGTGAGTGCTGCCCATCAGCTGAGGCTGTGCCACCTGAGGGTGTGGAGCTGGCTCTGGCAACTTGTAAGTCATTCCAGCAGCCATCTGCAAGAGGCAGTAAGCTAGCAGGGCCTGGAAAGGACAACATCTGCTGGCCACACTCAGGCCTCATCTACACCATCACCTCATTCTGCAGTAAGGCATCGGGACCCCACGAGCCCCTGGAGTTAACTTCAGTAGAGAATATCAGCTGTGGTGAATACTGCTACAGCACTTCTACAAAATAATCATGTCAGAGTACTGTTGCTGATGGAGAACTGGTTTTACCAGTTTCTTAAACTGTTTATAAATGGTAGACATTACGGAGCTTTAAATCTATATTCAGGCTATAACACTGGTGACTAGAACACAGACTGAGGATTATGTGGCTGTATGGTTTCTATCTGCTGCCAAAATATTCTTCCATTTGCATGCTGGAAGGGATTTTCAGTGAAACTTTCAGAAAGCATCTCCTGCTTTTCCACCTGATATTTCAAACAGCTGTGTCCTAGGGTAGCAATTTAAGCCTGCCATGCACCATCTGTTCAACCTCCTCGTGTCAGAGGAGAAGTGTTGTTTTGATACCTGAGCTACTAGAGAGTGCTGAACCCTTCAATTAAAAAATTTCCATAGCGAACCCAACTACCACTGAGAATAAACCTTTTTTTTTTAACCCTACTTTGGGTCTCCTGTGACTAAAGCTAATTTCTGTCACTGTGACAGTACTTGCTATCTGGAGACTTCATCTAGTTTTATATTACTTTATTTTTATTTGCTTTGCTATATTCTTAAAATCTCTTGACTTGAGATAGTTTTGTACCAATTTGCTGACTAATCCTGTTTAGCAAGGGAGACTTTTGAACATATAAATACAGTAGACCCAGGAAGAAATGAGAAATGTTTCCAGTTCTTGCATGTATTTTTATTGAATCTTCAGGTGTTTGTATCAACAAGGTTAAACTGCTCAGAAGATAGCCAGTGTTGGAGTCGGGTCATCAGACCTCTGCCTCAAGCCAGGCTATTCTCAAATTTTGTTTCTGTCTTGCAGAATGGAGATGTATGTATTTCAATTCTTCATCCACCTGTAGATGACCCACAAAGTGGAGAGCTGCCATCTGAGAGGTGGAACCCTACCCAAAACGTCAGGTAACAGTGTGAATCTGTGATGTACAGCAATGACCTCAAAGGCCTGTTGTCTCTCTCCAAGACTAAGGCCTGTGTTTACAGGCTTGATCAATGGGCCAAGGCCAATTGTATGAGGTTCAATAAGGCCAAATGTCAAGCCCTGCACTTAGGCCACAACAACACCCAGAAACACTACAGGTTTGGAGAAGAGTGGCTGGAGGGCTGCCCAGCAGAGAGGGACCTGGGGGTGCTGATTGACAGCCGGCTGAACATGAGCCAACAGTGTGCACAGCTGTGCAGTTCTGGGCCCCTCACTACAGAAAGGACATTGAGCTACTAGAGCATGTCCAGAGAAGGGCAACAAAGCTGACGAAGGGTCTGGAGCACAAGTCTTACAAAGAGCAGCTGAGGAAACTGGGATTCTTTAGTCTGGAGAAAAGGAGGCTGAGGTGAGACCACCTCACTCTCTACAACTACCTTAAAGGAGGTTGTAATGAGGTGGAGATCAGTCAGTTCAATGAAATTGCAACTGATAAGACAAGAGGAAATGGCCTCAAGTTGTGCCAGGGGAGGTTTAGATTGGATTTTAGGAATAATTTCTTCACCAAAAGGGTTATCAGGCATTGGAACAACCTGCCCAGGGCAGTGGTGGAGTCCCCATCTCTGGAGGGATTTAAGAGTCATATAGACATAGTACTGAGGCATATGGTTTCGTTAAGGACTTGTCAGTGTTAGGTTAACAGTTGGACTCAATGATCTTGAAGGTCTTTTCCAACCAAGGTAATTCTGTGAGAAAGGAATGAAAGGGAATTTAAGATTTTGGGGGCTTTAGTTCTTGAATTGGGTGGGAACCAGACTTATCAAGCTGTCTGAAGTGCTGCATCCTGATGCTGGGCTAACAATGTGGAGACTTCTGTCCTGTTCACAGGGTTTCATGCTCTTAAAGCAAATTGTTGCAAATGTTCTAGCCTTTCCCAGTCCATGTTATCCTACACTTAGGCTTTTCAAACTCCTCCAAGATACCTGTAGTGGAAAAGAACATTTTTGAGTATTCAGGTCCAGTAGGAGAATACTACCTACTGTAGGTACTGCATAATCCTACCTACTGTTTGCCTTACAGGATTTATCTCCTGTTCTGCAGTGTGGTATCTCGAGCAGTTAGTTGGGTGGTTTTCTTCCTGCCAAAAAAAAGGAAGGATCACTAAATACCAGAGGCATTCAAGGGTAATCTCTGTCCATTTGTTTTTTAAACACCAGCTGAATTTCATTCTCATTACAAGACACTGCCAAGAAAGAATGATAAGACTCATATCAAGTAGCAGCTGGAGTAGTGACTATTAAACTTTTTTTTCCATCCATCTGATATGGTTAGGACTAGGTGACAAGCCTCTACTCATAGTTAGGAAACAGCTTTGGGCATTAATTACTCATATCACACACACATTTTGAGTATTTCATTATATACAACCCTAAAGATTGACATGAAACCTCTCACAGTGCTAGTTCTCTGATTTCTGTTCTTCTTTACCATGGTGCAGTTTTGGTGCTTACTTTCTTGGAACATGTTTGGCTTAAGGGTGACATTTGGGGAGAAAACATTCCTCAGCTGTATCAGCAAGTGAAAATAATATTTGTCTGTAATTCGTAGCCTCTTGCCAGCATCATCTCTTGGGCTAAGTGCTGATAGAGATGCATCCTTCTGGGGTCTCATCTGGCTTTGCAAGGGCTGAAGGTGCGGGAGAGAAGCATGCTTGTTGTAATGAGCTGCTTCTCTTCAGCTGCTGAATTTTGTAAATCTTGCTGAGTATTGACTGTTTACTACAGATGACTGGCTGAAGTGTCTGTCCTTCTTCAACTTTGAGATCACCTGTGCTTCCACCTCTAAGTGTGTCACAGTTTGGCTCTGAGTTGGCAGTCAAACCAATAACAACAATGCTCTCGATGCCCCCCCTCCCCCAAGGTAGGGAAAGAGGGAGGAAAAAAAAAGAGAGGCTTTCTGGGTTGAAAAGTGAAACAAATTGATTTTAATTATTAGTGATAGGGGAATATATATATATATTTATAAAGGGATGTGCAACACCCGATCCCCTCCCTCCTCCCCCAGCAACTCTTCTTTCTGGTGACTCCTGGCTGAAGGGGGGAGTGTCTGAGTGCATGGACGGGGTCCTCAGATGTCAGCTGTGAAGAAAAATGGAGAAAGAAATAGAGCCAAAGAGAGGGCGATAGAAGTGACAATAAGCAGAAAAAGAGAGAGAAAAAGGAAGCCAAAGGCTTAATTTCCGTGATGTCTTAACCTATACTGAAAGCCAAATAGAGAAAATATGAGAAGGGAATATTCTGATATGCTGATCCTGCCTTCAGTCTAGTCTGTTCCCCCATGGCAGGGGGGGAAACTGCAGACATGAGCTTCAGAAGTGTCCTTGGTTGTTATCAGTCCACTGGTGCTGCTAAAAAAAAGTTAACTGAAAGGGAAAAAAAAAAATCAGCAAAGAGAACATTTGCTCCACCCTGGCTCAAACCAGGACACAGTGTAAAGCATGCTCATTAATTTTTTTTAACAGTCAATATGGACTTTCCCATCACCGAGAGCTAGATGAGACAGGCATAAGTAAATATGGCAAACATCTAGCAAGATGTGAAGGAATGCAGCCCTGATCTGTGTGGCAGAGAATACCGCTTTTCTTCTTGTGTCCCATAAAGCTGAGGAAATGGTGGCAGGGCTTAGGGGTTAAGGCTCTTTGATCACTTTAGTTGCGCTTCTCCATATCTCCCCCGGTCTTACTGTCCTTTTGAGGTGCACAGACTAGAACTGAGCACAGTATTCAAGATGTTGGTACATCTGTATCTTGTGAAGATAGGCAATGCCCTGTCTTACTATTTATTTGTTTCCTGAGAATGCCCACTTTTGTTGGCTTTTTTGGCTGCTTTAATGCATTGAACTGTTTGCAGAAACTGTCCAGATAGAACATTGCTGTCACACAAAAAAATTTATTTTCAACAAGGTATATAACAGGATGTGCTGGTTGGGAGACCTAGCCACTCTACATAATGTCTGTTTTAGTTTAGATTAAATTAATCCATGTCTGAGCCTTCTTTTAATACATGGAGAGAAAAAGGCACTTAACAGGCCTGATTCCTTGAGCCTCTACTGGCTTCTCTCCTCTGCTGATAAAGGGATATAAAGGGTCTCATTCTGAATGCAGCAGCCCAGTAAACACTTAAAATTAAATGGCATAGGAGCTGACAAGCACACTGTTTCCCAGAATGGGCTGGGGGGATGTAAGAAAGCATAAGGTGGGCTTGAAATCCCCACTCTTTGTGCAAACAGTTTGCATGAAACAACATGCTAGAACAACCTTGCCTGAGGGAGAAACAGATCTGTGACAATACTGGAGAGGGTCAGTCTGTATCCAGTCTAGTGCAGTTTGTATTTGATGCCAAGGATGTTTTCAGTCACATGTGGCTAAACTTGTTTGTGGTTTTGGTCCTGTCAGATCCCATGTGCTGGGATCCCTTCCTGTTCACCTTGCTTACTCGCAGCAGCAGGGTTTAAGTTGGAGGAGGCTGTCCAGCTCTTAAGGTATCAGCAGTGATGGAGCTGATCTAACACACTGGTCAGGAGTGCAGAGGGCCTCATCTTTAACAGACAGTTGCATTGGTGTATTTAAGTAGTTTTGCACTGACTTTAGGGTCTGGGGCACCACAGTGGAAACTGGCTTCTCACTTTGTTGATGGAAGTGTGGTAGAGCAGATGCTAAATCCAGACATAAATTCCTGTCCTTAGCTTTCCCTAGACTTTGCTTACTCTACAGTAAAACTGCTGCAATGATGCTGGAGCTGACATACTGGCTTTACAGCCTGTTTGCTGAGAATCAAAGGCTTGAAAGGAAGTAGAAGATGGTCTCTCTTCTGCTTATCATTCCAGTCTGAAAAGACAGTTTTTTCCAGAGCTGCGGTTCTTTTTTCTGCTGAATTCTATCACTTGGAAAGTAAATTGTGTAAGACTCTCCTGATAGCTGTGCTGAACAGTCTGGCCAGACACAAGTGTTTGCTTTCAAAACCTTCTAAGAAATTTTGTATCCAAATGATCAAGCATTTCTTGGAATTGTATCCGAGATATATGATCTGGTAGATGTGCTCAGCACATGCTACTCTGAATGTGCCCCTAAATCAATGGAAGTACAGCTGGGACTGTAATCTCCTTTAATCAAGTTCTGCAAAGCAGTTGCTATGTATTACTGTATTTCAAGACTTATTCATTTTATCTTGTTCTTCCCTTCCATTTAAATTGAAAGCTGTGGCCAGCAGGAACACCTAGGACATAGAATCACAGAATGGTTTGGGTTGAAAGGGACCTTCAAGATCATCTAGTTCCACCCCCCCTGCCATGGGCAGGGACACCTCCCACTAGACCAGGTTGCTCCAAGCCCCATCCAACCTGCCCTTCAACACTGCCAGGGATGGGGCAGCCACAGCTGTCCTGGGCAACCTGGGCCAGGGTCTCACCACCCACACAGCAAAGAATTTATTCCTAATGTCTAATCTAAATGTCCCCTCTTTCATAGAATCATAGGGGTTGGAAGGAACCTCTGAAGATCATCAAGTTGGTTTGAAACTGTTCTCCCCTCATCCTATCACTCCCTGCCCTTGTCCAAAGTCCCTCCCCAGCTTTCCTGTAGCTTCTTCAGGTACTAGAAAGGTGCTCTAAGGTCTCCCTGGAGCCTTTTCTTCTCCAGGCTGAACACCCCCAACTCTCTCAGTCTGTCTCCAGAGCAGAGCTGCTCCAGCCCTCGGATCACCTCCATGGCCTCCTCTGGACTTGCTCCAAGAGCTCCATGTTCTTCCTGTGTTGGGGGCTCCAGAACTGGACACAGTACTCCAGGTGGGGGTCTCATGAGAGCGGAGTAGAGGGGGAGAATCACCTCCGTTGACCTGCTGACCCCTCTGCTGGAGATGCAGCCCAGGACATGGTTGGTTTCTGGGCTCCAATGCACATTGCTGGATCATGTTGAGCTTCTCATCAACCACCCCAAGTTCTTCTCCTCAGGGGTGCTCTCAATCCATTCTCTGCCCAAACTGTATTTGTGCTTGGGATTGCCTTCACCTGTGTGCAGGACCTTGCACATGGCCTTACTAAACTTCATTAGGTTGGCATGGGCCCACCTCTCCAGCCTGTCAAGGTCCCTCTGGATGGCATCCCTTCCCTCCAGCGTGTCAACCACACCACACAGCTTGGTCATGTGAAGCTATTGAGGTGGTAGCTACAGCCAGATGGCTGGTTGTGTAGAGCTGCCTGATGGGACTTGCTGTTGAGTTTTGTGCTGGTTGTGGCACTGTGTGAGCAATGAAGGGCTGAATCTCTGAAGTTGCAAAGGGTTGTAGGAAATGCAGGAGAAAGGTCCGGGTGATGGAGATAGTGTTTGCCCCTGGCAAATCCTAGCAGAGTGGGGCAGCTAGCAGCTCTGTGCTGCCACTAGAAATCCAGGAAGGCTGTCTGCCAGGGGTTACGTGACCTGCTCATGCTGACTTTGCTGAGTGCCAGCAGCTGAATCCTGCTGGGCCCTTGGCAGCTTGCCTGGGTATTGGAAATCATCTGCACTGTCTTCCCCTTGCTTTGCTCACTTGCTGCTACAGCAGCCTTAGTGGTGCATGGGCTGAGGAGAGACCTGGCCACAGCTCTTAACATACTGTGGAGCAGGGAAGGCAGTGCATCCTCATCTGATGGCCTTGGGTCATAGTGGTCCTCCCTATACAGAGTTGGCAAAGAGCCTGGCTTTCTACTGGGAGACTGAATGTCATCAGGAACAGGCTCACTAAGCAAGTTTCCAACCCTGCAACATCCATGGGTGGTGTGGACAAGCTGAATTCTGGTCTAATGTGAGCTTTGCTTGCTGCCCCATCACAAGCACATGCACAGACATGATAGTCTGTTGTCAGGTTCTTGAGGTTTCTATTTTGTCACCTTCCCTATGCTGATGGCCAGGGACTGAAGTTCATAAATAGCTGCTCTCACTTCAGTTATTATCCTTAGCTATCCTTAATTATCCTTAAGTTTTTACTTTAAACAACTTTCTGATGCATCACCTAAAAAAGTAATTGGAATCCAGAATCCATGAATGTGTTAGCTCTGACGCTGCTGTTGTGGTTACCTTTTTTAGGACTATCTTACTGAGTGTAATCTCTTTGCTTAATGAGCCCAACACATTCTCTCCTGCCAATGTGGATGCATCAGTCATGTTCAGGAAATGGAGGGATAGTAAAGGAAAAGACAAGGAGTATGCTGAAATCATAAGGTAAGCTTTGCCATATGTGATGCTGTGCTACCAGCCTTCTGCTTTGAATCCTATGGAATAGGTTGCTTGCAGAATTTGCTGAAACCAGCTTCTCACTGTGGTTGCTCCTTTGGAAAGGAATTTTACAGTCTTATTTCAAGTCCACGCTTCTGGTCCCTCTAGGATTTTCAGCACACAAGTGGTGCAAAATTCTGGAGCAGGAGAACCAGGCTGATCTGTCTTCGAATTGTTCTTTTTTAGACTAATCTGTCATGATACTCTGCAAAGCCTATTGGCTGCTAGTAAATACCAGTCAAAGTCCCTGCTTGCCTTTGAATGCTGCTGCATTGCTTGGGATTTGATTCAAACTGACTTCATCCTACTAATTCTGTGCTTAATGCACTCATGAATCATACTCTCGTCTCTCCAAAGGAATATCAGTAGGATTTGGCAAATGCTTGCAAAGCTGGGTTTGATTAGCTGGAAGTACTGTTCGGTCTTGACTGTCATTTGAGAAGTTCATGGTTCATCAGGTGTTATAGGGAGTTGATGTAAACTTGAGCCAGGGTTGCTGTGGAGTGGCAGCCCATACTGCAGTGGGACCACTGTCATGCTTGCCTGGAGCAAGACCACATCTGCATGGACTCCACTAGCTGGGTGTGCAGGATGTACCCCTTGTTGGAGCTATGTAGGGCAGTCAGTCACTGGCCTTAGCAGTGTAGAGACTTGCATTATCTTAGGTTAGCTTCAGTGGAGCTGGATGTACTCCATAAACAGAGTATGGCAGACTGATAAGCAGGTGGGTGGGGGTGAAGGGAAAGGCTCCTCTCCCTGCTGGGAGGCAACACAGGCCAGCAACAGTTCACAGCCTGAGTGCTGCCAGGAGGCAGCAGCTAGAGCCTGCCCTGGGGTGATGGGAAACACTTGTTTCCTGCCATCCCCAGACAGTGCCAGAGTTACAGCTGCATCTTTGGGTGCAGGCATGTGCTCAGACTGCTCTTACTCTCCAGTGGGAGCTCAGAGCTTATGGGAATTGCAGTTTTGAGCATACTGGGATAGGGTCATCAGTGGTGGAGGGTGGCTGTGGATGGCATCTCTGAACCCATCTCAAGAAGTCATTTTGGGAAATTCCTGAACATCCCTTCTGTAACAAATGTAATGGAATCTACACTGAGCTCTGGCAGATCTTTAACGTGGAGTCCTGTAGAATAACCAAGTTCATATGTTGCTGAGTGTGTGTGTGCTGCAAACATCCTTGGAATGCTCCCAAGCCCAGGGCTGTGGGAACTAAATCTGTTTCTAGTGCTGCTTGTGGTGCTTCAGTCAAACATCAGCTATCCTGAGCTGCCAGGAGGGCTGGTCTGGGGCTGGCTGGGAGGTGGGGAGTTGAGCCCTGCTCACATTGTTGGGTCTTCCTCCCTGCAGGAAACAGGTTTTGGCTACCAAAGCTGAGGCAGAGAAGGATGGTGTGAAGGTTCCTACTACACTGGCAGAGTACTGCATCAAAACTAAAGTGCCTTCCAATGACAACAGTTCAGATTTACTTTATGACGACTTGTATGATGATGACATTGATGATGAAGATGAAGAGGAGGATGCCGACTGTTACGATGACGATGATTCTGGCAATGAGGAGTCCTGACCTGTTCCCTCTATGCCTGTGTACTGCCCTGCCAACTCAGGCCAGAAGGGAGCAGCTGTAACCTAGCAGCAGTCCAGAAAAAAAACGGAGGGGGGAACAAAAACCTTTTTCTCCTGTTTGCTCCTTTTTAATGGACCTCTTAGAGACCCTCCATGGAATGTCTGAATTCTTGCATTCTTAACCCTTTCATCACTGCATTATGATTTATTTTTAAAAAAGAAACTCCTATTTTCACTTCTCTACAAAATGCTCACAGCAAAACAGGTTTTCTCATGTTTAGATTCTTGAATTAAATACAATCTTGCATTGAGATGTTTAATGTATTTAAAGCTGGAATAAAACCATTGGAAGCTGGGTTTTCGGGAGCTCAAGTGCTGTGTTTTACAATGAGGGTGGTGAAACACCAGCACAGGTTGCCCAGAGAGGTGGGAGAAGCCCCATCCCTGGAAACATTCCAGGCCAGATTGAACTGGGCTGTGAGCAACCTGATCTAGTTGCAGATGTCCCTGCTCACTGCAGGGGGGTGGGACTAGATGGCCTTGAAAGGTTCATTCCAACCCAAACTATTCTGTAATTCTAGAAAAATAGCCAAGATTTAGCTGCTCCATTGACAATAATAGTGTGTGTACATTCTTTTAGCCTTGTGATGGTGGCTTTTTGGTGTGGGGCGGAGGGTGTAAAGCTACTGTGTGTTGAGCTTGATGGGATGTTACTGAAAGGTACAGTATTCCTTTTCAGCCTGCTCAAGTTAGGAAACGGCTGGACCCTGGAGCCTCCAGAGGTTACAGTCAGTTTTGTCTCTGAAAGATTTGCGATATGAACCCTAAAATAAACACTTAACACTTCATGTCTGTACATCTGAGCCCTGGGTTGCTTTTTTTTTTTTCAGACTAGGTTGGGGTTGAAAAAGTTCAGTTTAGCTGTGCTGCTGAGATCTGCTGCCAGCTGTCCCTCTCTGGAGGGAGGAAAACAGATGTGCATCCCACTGCCCAGCAAGCCAGCATTAATTTGACAGTGGGATAGACCGATAGCCTCCTCCCCCAGTGCTCGCTAGCAGCCCTTGCTTCTTGCAGCCTAAGTCCAGTGCTGGTCTGAGCTTTCTGTTTCTTATGTAGGTCATGTGTCGGTAAATGCAGCCCTGCTGCAGTTCTGCTGGGCTGGCAGAAGTCAAAGTTGCCTCTGGTGCCTACTTGGGGTGGCCAGGCTGTCCCTGTGCCTGCAGCAGCTGCTGTGGCTGGGGCATGGGGCAGAGGGGATGCTTGTGTGCTGGGCTCTCCTCTGCCTGGCTGGCTGCAGAGTGGGTGAGCATGTGCAGCCTCACAGGTGAGAGGGCTGCAGTGCTTTCAGGCTGGAAGAGGAGGCCAGGAGCAGGGTTTGACAGGTATTTAGCAGCATGCTTCAAGCTGGTGCACTGAGCTTGGCCTCCTGCATGTTTTTGGGAGCTCTTGGCAGAGCTTAGGGCCCTTTTGGGCAAGGGGGGATCCTGCATGCTGGTCTCTGCAGAACTCTCTTCCTTGGTCCCTCAACACCCACACCCCATTGCAGCATGCTCTTGTTCAGCTGTGGTGCAGTGGACTGAATTGACCTTTTGCATGATCAGCAGCCAGGTTTGCCTTCCTGTGCTGAGCCCTGTCAACTCCAGGAGCAGATCTGAGTTGCTGACCCTGCTTGGGTGAGACCCACAGGTACAGAGGCAGTTATCCTGATAAGAGCTATGGGTTTGAGCATGTTTATTCATCCCTTTCATATATCTCAGGGTTTTTCAATGGTGTGGTCCATCGAGGGGTGCTTTGGTGGGAGTAAGCTTTGTTCTGTGACCAGCTGGGGGGGGGCTGTGTCCTGGGGTGAGGAGCAGGATGAGAGTGACCAAGCTCAAAGTGTGCTGCCTGGAGGGAGAGAAGGCAAAGGAAGCCCTAAGGGAGGTGAGCAAGGCTGATGGGGCTCAGTTTGATGTGAACAAGGCAGATATGTCTCCCCGATTCTCTCCCCCAGGGTGTGCTGATGATGCATCCCTCTGCCCCCTGCAGAAAAGGCAGCCCAAGTGTTGATACCCTGTCATGGTCTGCCTTCCTGTTTGCATGTTACTTGGGGAGGACGCAGGTGGACACCCTCCACCCCCC